AAAGAGATTGACTAAATACAGATACAATACAAGACGGAAGTGAGGGAAATCTAAATAGAATGCTTTTTCAAAGCATTGAAGAAGTATTTGACCGTATAGACCAAAAACTGGACAATTTAATACAAAGAATAATGGACAATGATCAGGACAATGAAAAAAGAATGAGTCACCAGAAGGAACAGAGGAGAAAGCAGAGAGAAATCAGTAAGAAGAAGATAACAAGGAGAAAACTAATAATGATTAAGAAACTAAAAAAGGAAGAAAATAATGTAAAAGACCTAAAAAGGGAATGGGAGAAACAGGAAGAGAACTGGGGAAAAGAGAGAGGATGTGGAATATATAGTTCTGGAATTAGACAGTGGGAAAGGGTAGAGTTGGGAGAAAAAATTAGACTGCATAGTCAAATAGAGGGAATAAAAGACTTAAGGGACAAATATGGTAGGAAAACTAAAAAGAAAACAAGATTAAAGTTAAATAAATTATATAATTATATATAAAAGAAACAGACATGATCTTCTGGAGATTATAATGTTTGTTTCTTTTATATCTGCACTTGGAACTCGCATTTTTAGGACAATTCACTATATATACATACACATACACACACAAACATACTCTGTGTGTGTGTGTGTAGAGAGGGGGGAGGGAGGGATAATAGTAACAATATATTAATATGTTAAGATATACAAAAGGATAGGAAGAAGGTTAGGAATGAAGGGTGATAATAAAAGGCAATAATATGAAATAATGGAAATGAAATGTAATATTTAAGAGTAATAAGATTATGTTTATGTGTACTGAAATGTATGATACCCATATACCACACCATTCATGCTCTGATATGTATAACGAATATAAAAATAAAATTTTGATTAAAAAAACAAAATAGTTTTCACAATATTATTACAAATCCTAGGTATCATCCATTCTCTGTCTGTGAACTTTGCACTTGTGTTTATTAAATATTATTCTTTTAGTTTCAACCATTTAATCTTTTTTTAACATCACAGATTTGTTTTGAATTTTATTTCTACCTTCTAAGATATTAACTATCCCATTTAAACCTATACATTGTAAAATCTGGCAAGCATTCCCTCCACCACTCGATCAAAGTCCTTAATGAAAATACTTAGTACTAAGCATAATATTTTTCTTGATCATGATTCCTATTGTAGATAGACTTCATTATATATTTCAACAACTCCTGGGAATTGTTCTAATTTCTTTTCAGTACTCTCTGTTCCTGTCTATTGCAAATCCATAATCTTGGGGAAAGTTGTTTCACTTTCCTCTCTTGAACCATGTTGCTGTGGCATACTTAAAAGCAACTCAAAGCCTCTGTATCTAGCTTTATTGTCAGTGAATTTTCCCATTGCAGTTTTCTAGTCATCTTCTATAGGTCTTGCTTTATAATTAACTATAAAATCAATAGCTATGTTTAAAGCAATCAGAAGCCTTCATTTTGGATATGCAACTGCAGATTTGTCATAGATAACTTTTGGAGATTTGGGAGCAGGGAACAAGTTCAGTTATTCAAGCAATTAAGACACTGCCTGTAAATTGGAGGATGAATTTTTCTTTGGGCCCTTGCAAAGGTGCATCAGCAGGAAGGTACTATGATATTATTCCATTTTAAATTCATCATCTAAATTCCCTTACTAGATAAAACAATTTATTTTCCATTGTTTGTTTCTAAATATCCATGACCAACTGAAAAAGCAAGCAACTTTGAATTGCCTTTTTATGAAATGGAATAAACAGGTACTTCTTTTTTTTCTTTTCTCTTAAAAGATTGTATATAGATTAAGTTGCAGTTCAAAGATTTGCAAGCTGACTTTTCTGATCTCATAAAGCTCTTTTCCTTCACATTTATTCAAAGGCAATGCTTAATGGTATTTCTTTTCATTCTGTCTAAAGGGTCTCTTCATTGGGGTAGTTGACACAAATTAGAAAACAATTACTACAGCTTGTAACATTAGATTGAGAGAACAAAGTCTTTGCATAATATGGATTGAAAAAAGCAATGTCTCAGGAACTGGGAAAAAGATAATATATAAAATATTTCAGAACTGGCATAACATTCTGAAAAATTTAAAAACCTTAGCACACCTCTGTTGCCAAAGAAATTTTGTCTATTTTCTCTAAAAATAATTCCCCTAGCTCGAAAAAAAAAACACTTGCCAGTATAAGGCCAATAACATTTTAGAGCATTTTTTTTCTTTCTAAGAAACTAGTGTTTATTAACCAATTATTAATCAGTGTTTTCTGCCTTATAGGCCTGCTTCGTCCCCTCAGCTTTCACATGATGATACGCATTCACGCATTGAGCATTATGCTAGCAGGTATGAGATCAGGTGGTTCGTTAGGGAAATTTTCCTTGAAACTTTTTTTTTAAGTATGGTAAATCCTTATTGCAACCACCATTGCTCAGATGTTAAGAAATGAAGTTAGGCTCATTTCAAGTTCCTAAGATTTATGGTATACATGTTTACTAATCTCTATGCATATTTACTAATTTCTGCTAATCGGTTTGCTAACTAATCTGCATGTAGAATTACTGCATGATATTTAGAATGTATGTTACATAATTGAAAATAGGAAATAAAGAACACAAGGTTTTATTTATAACTAATCTGCTTTTCTTCAAAATATATATTATGCTAGGTTTTTTCTGGAAATATACTTTGGTATATACTACTGGGCAACCGTGTAGTAGTACAAAATACTAATTTACACCCAGTATCTAATCCTCAATACATGGGTCATAATTTATAATTTTATTTCAGCTTTTGATAAAGAGGACATTGAACTGCTATTTAAAAAATATAAAACAATGCTACATTCACTTATTTTTAGAAAACTAGTATAAATACTGTACGATAACAGTTATATCACTATTTTGTACACTCATAGGAAATACATAGATACAACAGAAATAATACTTTGTTTTATTGCCAAGAAGTCTTTCTGTAGACAATATTCCAGGATCTCATCATAATTATATTTTTGTTCTCAGTTTTAATTAGGAGAAGATACAGTGAATTTTAAGATGTTTTCTTTTCTTCATAGGCTAGCAGAAATGGAGAACACCAATGGAACATATATGAATGATAGCATTTCTCCTAATGAGAGCATGTGAGTATGCCTCTGAAAAATTATAGGAAATTTAACTTAATTCATCAGTGGTGGGTTTCAAAAAATTTTAGAACCTATTCTATAGGTGTGGCCTGTTTTGTGAGAGTGGCTCGGCAGTCATGTGACCGGGTGGGCATGATGTGGTAAATGTGGTAAAACTCACTTAACAACGCTCTTGCTTAGCAACCAAAATTTTGTGGTTATAAGTTCTCTTCCTTTTTCTTTCATTCATTCGTTCCTTCCTTCCTTTTGTCTCTCCCTTTTTCTTTCTTTCATCTCTCCCACTTTCTTTCTTCTTTCTTTCCTTCCTTCCTTCCTTTTGTCTCTCTTTCTCCCTTTTTCTTTCTTTTTTCTTTCATCTCCCACTTTTTCTTTCTTTTTTCTTTCCCTCTTTCTCTTTCAATCTTTGTCTCTCTCTCTTTTCTCTCCCTCTCCCTCCATTCCTTCCTTCCTTTTGTGTATTTCTTTCCTTTCTTTCTCTCTTACTTTCTCTCTTTTTCTCTCTCTTCCCCCCCCTCACACACACACATATCCCTTCCAATTATATTCGTAAATATATTCTATGAACTAAAACCGGTGCCCAATAAATCCTATGATCATGGCATACTGTATCCTACAAGCCAATTCACAGAGCTCCCAATTCAGCCTCTTACCACTCTGGGGGTTAACCAAATATGGTTAGTTGTCCTGTTATCTCTTGGTCTTGGTTCATGCCTTTTTAGCAGAGTGGCAGAGAGGGCTAATTTCGAACCGTTTTTTTTTCCTTTTGCCGAAGCCTGATTTCTCTGCCACTCGGCGGGTGACCTGGTGAGTGTCCGAAGGTGTTGGGTATGCTACGGAAGGCACGCACATCACACACACACACACATACACACACACACAGAGAGACCATGCTTGCCCCAATGCAAGGCGCATGTGTAAGGGAGACTGGATCAGCTGAGAGGTTGGGAAAAAAGAAGTCTCTGTTTCTCCACTACCGCGACTCGCAGAGGAATGAGATGGGAATGATGGCCAGTGCTCTCTTCATTTACTGCTTGCCCCTGAGGCCCGCTGGCTGGTAGTGGCTGGCCAGGAGAAACAGCCTCCCAGCTGATCCAGTCCCCCTTACACATGCGGTGTGTGTGTGTGTGTGTGTGAGAGAGAGAGAGAGAGAGAGAGCGCCAGCCACCTTGTTTCCAATGAAGGCAGTGGGGAATCCATGCAGAGGGAGAAAAAAACGCATGGACACCCCCCCAATTGGAAACGAGGTGGCTGTCAAAGAGAAGGGAGCAATGTGCACCACATGGGCTTGTCCAACAGCCGAAGAAGGTTGTGAGAAGTCCACAGTGACAGTAANTTTAAATAATGGTAATTAAATGAGAATTGTGGTACAGTGATAGTAAAATACATACAATTTTTTGATTTAAAATGTACAATTCAATTTGAATGAAGTATACAGTATAATGATTGTGGAAGAAACGCACGAAATGTATTTGTAACCAATCGATATGCTTTCTACAAGATGTAAGGAAGGATGATTCTTTTTTTGTGTTTTTGTTTAATTAAAACAATAAAACTTAAAAAAAAAGAAAAGAAAATGAATAGTAGAAAGAGTGGCAGGTCTGAAGTCCGAAAGAAAAGATGGCTTGCAGACTGACAGGCAACCTCTTCTCAGAAGAAAAGCGTGTCCTGTAAAGAGAATAATGCAGGGGGTTAACATTTACTAACTAACCACCTCTTTCCCTCCCACCCCCCTGCCCCCAGGGGGACCCTTTGGCTTATCTGAAAATTTATCATGGAATTGTTTCACTAACTTGTCAGCTTTCACATTCCCACTTTTAACCCATGTAGCGTCAAACAAAGGGTATCCCTTCCAATGCACTAAATATTGCAAATGACCTATACAGTCTAGAGTCTAGAATTATTTTGACTTTGTAGTGAGTTTCTCCCTGTATTACTACAGGAGGAGGGGGTGGTTGGGTCTACAGTCTTAAATTAGACCCAATCACAGGTATTAGCAAGCTACAATAAAAAACGGTGTACATTCTCTAGGATTCTAGACAGACTGAGCTGAACCGTTACTGGATTAATTATTTTGATTATTAGGAAACTACCTAGAAACTTTGGCTCTAATTTCTTGCTAGGCATCCTTAACCATATGTATTTGGGCGATAGAGAAGAATGTTGTTATGACTACATATCACCCAACTCCATATAATCTCCCCTCCCATTTTCCCACAATAGAAAATGAATAGTAGAAAGTGTGGCAAGCCTGAAGTCCGAAAGAAAAGATGGCTTGCAGACCTGACGTACACCTGGACAGTTCTACTACTAAAAACCATTGCAGGATTTTGTTACAGTTGAAGTCTTAGTCAGAGATCTGGTCAAAGATTGATTGCAATAACAGTGAAAAGAAAAACCAGCCGTAAGAATTTATTAATTCATCCAACAAATGGAATGGAATACTGTCCTCAATAGCAATCTGGTTTAGAAAGCTAGGAAAAATACCTCATATTAATCTTGTTAGGGAAGGTGGATTTTTTAAAAAGACAATTATCCATTTACTGAAATACATAGTATGGCTCTTTTGTAGGTATGTATGTTTAGGGGCGATTTTATTTTATCTAATGTTGGCATGATTGCTTTTGTTGTTCTGGAAAAGACTATTCAAACAGGAATTTCATCATGACTTGAAGCATCAGGATCCTAAAACTAGTATATTTACTACCTGAAGTTTGCTGATCACTATGTTCTCTACTATAATTGCCTAATAATGCAATTAATGTGTATAAATCACGTAACAATATTAAAAGTTTATGATCTTGTGGCCAGCAGTGGGATTCACTTAGGTTTACCACCAGTTCGCAACCATGAGCGCATGTGCATGCTCATGTCACATGTGCATCTTCTGCGCATGCATACAGCCTTCCACTTTGCTCCCACACGTGGCCTGCACACATGCACGTGGCGTCAAAAATGAGGCTACATAGGACATTTTGGAGCCTGGGTGGGTGGGCAGGGGGCAGGGCCCACCGGTAGTTCGGTGCTACCGGTTTGGCCAAACTGGTCTGAACCAGTTGAATACCTCTACTTGTGTCTAGGGCCACATGCGGCCGTGGACTATGAATTGGACAATTTCTGCTTCAAGTAATACCCAACGTATCAGTAATCATAAGAGTTTGAAGATGTCATTTAGGTTGTCAGTCCAATAATTGAAATTGGAACTGTCGACAATATTGCAGAGGCTGAAGCCGACAGAAGTGAGAGCGCCATTTGCTGATGGAAAGGGAAATACGCAAGCTTGGAAATAACTATTTAAAAAGACTGAAAATATTTGTTGGACATGGATCTACTCTAAGACCACTAGGGATCTGATTATTGGAAGCATATAATGTCCACTTTCAATTTCTCTAATTTGTTGAATGTTCTTCTTTTTGTTGCTGAATTTAATCCATTAATGGATATTACTTTTATTTCTTTTTCCATGTCATTGGTTTATAGATTTAGTTGATCTAATCATTCTTAGCTCCCTCTGCTCGTTCGTCTCGTTGGCCCTTGCTCCTTCTCTTACCTCTTCCTGTTTTTTCTCCATCTCCTCTGATCTTTCCCCTTAGCTTCCTGGCATTTAGCTCCTTCCTCTTCTCTTACCAGCATTCCCTCCTGTGCTGCTATATATTGTTCATAGAATAATTCTGCTTTCTCTGGTGTATCTAGTCTGTACCTTTGTTCATGCCATTATACCAAAATCCCTTCTGGAACAAGCCATCTAAAACTCACCTTTTTATCAGACTCTTAGTCAAAAAGTGGAATTCCTCTCTTATTTCTTTGACCTTCCTTGGAACTTGCTTCAGTACCACTATCTCTCTAGAGTTGTATTTTATGGTGCTACTTCTTGCTGCTTGCAATATTTCATTTTTAGAGGTTTTTGTAGCAAATCTTACATGGACCTCTGGGCAAGTTGTTTCTCATTGCATATCTTGAAGCGAGCCCTGCAGCCTTTGAGTCCTCTGGCAAGCAGTCTGCGACGCACTGTGCTTGTGCACACTTTTACATCACATGTTTCACCCCAAATTCTTGTAATCTAAGGTGAGGTGAGCTTCGTGGATAACCTCCTCAGGAATTTAAATTGATTGGATTGACAATTGATGAGACATTTAAAATTGTGACTTGGAAGTTTTGCTTTTTGAATTAATGAATCCTGGACTGGGCTAAAAAAGAGATTGACTAAATACAGATACAATACAAGACGGAAGTGAGGGAAATCTAAATAGAATGCTTTTTCAAAGCATTGAAGAAGTATTTGACCGTATAGACCAAAAACTGGACAATTTAATACAAAGAATAATGGACAATGATCAGGACAATGAAAAAAGAATGAGTCACCAGAAGGAACAGAGGAGAAAGCAGAGAGAAATCAGTAAGAAGAAGATAACAAGGAGAAAACTAATAATGATTAAGAAACTAAAAAAGGAAGAAAATAATGTAAAAGACCTAAAAAGGGAATGGGAGAAACAGGAAGAGAACTGGGGAAAAGAGAGAGGATGTGGAATATATAGTTCTGGAATTAGACAGTGGGAAAGGGTAGAGTTGGGAGAAAAAATTAGACTGCATAGTCAAATAGAGGGAATAAAAGACTTAAGGGACAAATATGGTAGGAAAACTAAAAAGAAAACAAGATTAAAGTTAAATAAATTATATAATTATATATAAAAGAAACAGACATGATCTTCTGGAGATTATAATGTTTGTTTCTTTTATATCTGCACTTGGAACTCGCATTTTTAGGACAATTCACTATATATACATACACATACACACACAAACATACTCTGTGTGTGTGTGTGTAGAGAGGGGGGAGGGAGGGATAATAGTAACAATATATTAATATGTTAAGATATACAAAAGGATAGGAAGAAGGTTAGGAATGAAGGGTGATAATAAAAGGCAATAATATGAAATAATGGAAATGAAATGTAATATTTAAGAGTAATAAGATTATGTTTATGTGTACTGAAATGTAT